AGTGACAAAAGAAAAAGCACCATTATTAAATATATATACGATGACTATATCGGAAGTTTTCACGGATCAGGAAATCTTTGTGACCGGCGCCTCGGGTATGTAAATTATTATTACAGGATTTTAAAGAGGTTTTCATCTATATTAACTTATCATACACTTAATTAATTAAATTTAAATCGAATCTGCAATTTTGCGGAACAGGTTTTGTGGGCAAGGCGCTGGTCGAGAAGCTGCTCCGGTCCTGTCCAACACTAGGCCGGATTTACGTTCTGATGCGGCCCAAAAAGGGGCACAATATCGAGGAGCGTCTGCAGCTCCAATGGGAGACAAAGCTGTACGAGAGGGTGCGTAGGGAACAGCCCGATGCCCGATCCAAGTTGGTGGCCATTGCCGGGGACGTGGAGCAGTTGGGCATGGGCATCAGTGCAGCAGATCTAGAGCGATTGAAAAACGTAAACATTGTATATCACTCGGCGGCCAGTGTGCGGTATGTAAATCGTTATTATTATTAATATTTTATAAATCAATATTTAAATTATAATTATTAGCTGTGAAATATACACCCACCAGTTGTTATAATTCTCAACTTGTTTTTCGTTTTGTTTTTGGATTGAAAATTGTATTAATTTGTCTTAAATTTAAATTAATTTATGGTGCTATATAATGATATGTAAAATAATTTTTCAAAAATAATATATGTACATCTTTTGCTCCATAGTTTTGACGACCCCCTACGCACCGCCATATTAATGAATACCCGCGGCACCCATGAACTGATCAAGCTGGCCCTGGGTTGGCGTAAACTCAAGGCCTTTGTCCACGTGTCCACCACGTATGCAAACCCCGGAGTTCTGGAGGTAGAGGAGCGCGTCTATCCACCGCTGGCCGATTGGCGGACAACCATTAAGCTGGCGGAGACCTACGACGAGGAGACTTTGAACATCTACAATCTCAAGTGAGTAATGACGATATATCTAAGGAACTACATATAGAATCTATATGTCCTCCTGGCAGGTATGGAAATTTCCAGCCCAATACGTACACCTTTACAAAGAGCTTGGCCGAGCAGGTTGTCAACGACTACAGGGATCAGCTGCCCATCTTTATCTTTAGGCCATCAATTGGTAAGGTTTTGTTTATACAATTTGTAAATTCCTTCATTTAAAATCCCTTTATTTACAGTGGTTTCCACCATTGAGGAGCCCATGCCCGGCTGGGCGGATAATTTCAATGGACCCACTGGCCTTCTGGTTGCCTGCGGCACTGGAATTCTTCGTTCCCAGAACTGTGATCCCAATATTGTGTCCGATTTTGTGCCCGCTGACGTGGTGGTTCGTACACTAATCACCGCAGCTTACAAGTTCATTTCGGAGGCTAAGCTCCGGCAGGAGCGTAAGGCCAAAGGCGAGGAAAGTGAGATGTATGTGATCAACTGTGCCACGGCCAATATATCACCCATAACCATGGGCGAGGTGATCGAAATTGGCAAGACTTTTATACGAAAGAATCCCTTTGAGAAGACCCTATGGCTGCCAGGTGGAAGTATGACCACCTGTCCGGTATTGCACTTTATAAGGGTGAGTAAATAATTCCTAAATAATAATAAAATGTAATTAATAAATAATTGTATATGATTCTTCGGTATATATTTCCAGTTCTGCACTATGCATTTACTCATGGCCGTTGTGGTTGACACTTTGCTGCGACTCTCTAACGAAAAGCCCTTGTAAGTGGAATAGTTTTTAATCAAAATACAAATTAAATTTGAAATTATTTAATTTCCTGTGTAAATTGCAGCCTTATGAAGCTGCAGCGTCGCATTTTTGCTGCCTTTAGTGCCCTGCAGGTTTTCGCCATGACCGAGTGGCACTTTCAGAATAACAATTTCCGGGCCCTGCATGACTTAGTTCCGGAAAATGAAATGTGAGTTCTTATTTAAAAAAGTTAAACAACTTAAAGTTAATTTAAGAAAATGCACAAAAAATACCCCTTTAGTTTTAAGTCTTTTAAATATTTCTCAATAGGATAAACTACATTTTTTTATTGTTAACATTTGAGATGTAACATTTAACATATTCTTTTATAACTCCATCCTTCCTCGCTTCCAGGTCCACCTTTGGCTTCATGCAGCATGCGAATATCAATTATGTGGACTTCTTCCAGCATGGTATACGAGGCGCCAAGGAGTTTCTATTGAATGAAGGTCCCGAAAGCAGTAAAGCCGCCAGATTCCGGGTGAAAATCTTTTACGTTTTGGACTTTTTGTGTCGCGGCATTGTGTACAGCTTCCTGCTCCGTTTGATATACAAATTTCTTGTGGGCCTGTGGTAGCCTCGTTTTATTTTATTTTCCTTAAAAAATATATATTGTGGCATTGGTTTGTAATTCTCTCGTGATTTTCTTAATATTTAATTTTTGAGAATATGGAATTCAAAATAACAGGTTTTTGTCGATCTGGCAGCGCTGTTTTCGAACAAGCGCCATCTGGTGTATTTTCTTGGCACTCCAATTATCGGCTTTGCAAAAATAAAAAAAGTAAACTGAAAACTTAAGAAAAACTTAGTTTTGTTTCACAAAAATGTAAGCAAATTTGGTGCAATTGTAATTTTTGCCCTTTTCATGGTCCCTGAAAATGTCTTATTTATCATCGATATCATCGATACTGCGATAGGTATCGCCCAAACGATGAGTGCATATCGATAGCACACACAAGTACAGTAATTGTGAAAATTAAGGTAAACTCAGCGAATAAACAACAAGAAGAGGAGCCACCAGCAGCAGGAGGAGCAACGCGCGAAGAACACAGCGAATAGGCAGAGAATCGGTGGAGAAAGAGCCAGCGGATAAGGATTTCGGTGTTTGCCAGGACGTGCGAGGCGGGCCAGCTTCAGAGGAGAGCAGAGCAAACCCACCGCCCCCGTTGCCTCTCCTCCCCCGTTGCGGGGAGAGCGAGAAACCGCTAATTGGATTGCAGTGTTTTTTTTGTGTTTTTTTTTTTGCGGAAAGAGGGTAATAATAGGAAGATAGCCGCCGCCGCCGCGCGTGCAAGGAGGACGCAATGGCCACCACGCAGCAATACTCGCTGCGATGGAACAACTACCTGCGCCACCTCACCTACTCGCTGGACAACCATCGGCTGAACGACGACTTTGTCGATGTGAGCCTGTGCGTCGACGGGCGACGGATCAAGGCGCACAAGGTGGTTCTATCCTCCTGCTCCTCGTACTTTAAGGAGATCTTCAAGGAGAATCCGCATCCGCATCCGGTCATTATTTTTAAGTTTATCAAGTTTGAGGATCTCAACTCTATCATTGAGTTTATGTACCAGGTGGGTTTTTGCCGGCGGAAGCCATACATGGGGAAATGATTACCTCTTATTTCCTCCTCTTCCAGGGCGAAGTCAATGTGCAGCAGGAGGCCCTCCAGTCTTTTCTGCAAACCGCCGAGCTACTGGCCGTCCAGGGACTTACCGCCGAGGAGAAGGAGCGGCCGCAGCTGCCGGTGGCGCCGCTTATCAGCGAGCACAAGCTAATCAAGACCATACCGAGCACCATCCGTGCAGTTAGCGAGCAGCAGCACCAGGTTAATACGGTGGCGGCCCAGCAGGCGCAGACGGCCACACAGACCATCGAAATACCCACGGCCACGCTGCTGCAGGCCACCACCGCTAGCCAGGTGCAAACGCAGGTGGCGGCAGCTGCAGCAGCAGCCGCACAGTTGCAGCAGGTTCAACAGCAGCAGCATCATCATGTACAAACCACACAGATTCAGCACATTCAAGTGCAATCTGCACCGCCACCGCAGCAACAACAGCAGCAACAACAGCAGCAGCAGCAGCAACAACAGCAGCAGCAGCAACAACAGCAGCAGCAGCAACAACAAACCCAACCGCAACAGACGACGCCCGTGCAGACGCAGCATTTGAGCATTAGCAATGCAGTGTCTCTGCCCGCGGCCAGCACGGTGAAGAAGCGCAAGATCACCTTCTCCGACGACGATGACAACATCTACACCACCGAGACCGTTGACTATGCCAAGGATGAGCAGAACATTGTGAAAAGTAAATAAAAAAAAGAGCCATTAGGATAAAATATAATAGTACAAAATTATACCCCCCATAGCCTCCGATATGACTTTTTTACGCGGCGCCGTAAAGATGGACATACCGGATTACATTGTCGGCGAGGTGGACGATCGGCTGTCGGATGGCGCCACACCGCAAACGTCACAGGATGCCACCACAGGCGCTGCCCAGACAGTGGCCCAGTATTCCTCCGAGTACGAAATCCTCACCGAGTCTGAGATCGAGGAGAAGTATCAGGCGGATGCGGATAATGCTGAAATTACCATCGAAATGTGTGAGTATTGATAATGTATTTGTACTATTACTATAATTATAAATGTAAAATATATTCACCATTTAAGCTCGCCTGTTGGGTAATGCCAGCGGCACGGCAGCAGCGGCGGCGGCAGCGAGCGGTGGCCTGGAGGATGGAGGCGGTGGGACGGGTCCCGCGACTACGGTGTCTGTGACGCCGGTCAAGTCGGACAGCAAGTCCAGTGGGACGAATGGTGAGTGGGGTTTAGGTTTTTTATATACTTTTTTTTGTATATTTTAAGAGACGTCAGAAAATATCGATATATCAAAGCTTATATAACGATATTGAAACGTTGCGATATATGAGCGATTATTGGTTATACCGATCCACTTAATCAAAAAAAAAAAGAGACAAATATTTAAGTTGGTTAAGCAGTTTCGTATATTTCGATAATATCAAGATTTTTCTTTGAATTCGATTATTTTCGATATTTAAAATTTCGATATATCGAAGTTAAAGATATTTTGAATAAGATATAAAATTTTTCCTTTCTTTTCTTTCCTTTTTAAATTATTATTATTTTTATTTATTTTAAATTTATTTTTTAAGTTTTAACTAGTTAAATGTTTTATTTTTACATTCTTTAAGTTACTAAACCAAATATGCTTTTAAGTATTTATTTATAGCATTATCTATATTATTTATGTATTGTTTTTGTGTGTGTGTGTGTGTATGTTTTTAGTTTAAGATTAAGGTGATTGTGTAAATACCATAAGGCATTCCCTAGGAAGGTCTTGTAGCTTTGCTTCCCCCAATTAGTTGATTATTTATTTCGTGCATTAAGTATTTAGTTGTTGTTGTTGTGGCTGTCGAATATGTCTCCAACGCGTATGTCCAGCTAGGAAATTCATTGAGGGATCCATCCCATCCATTAGAGTCTGTGCCTAACTGATCTGTACGTATTTTCTGTATATTTTTAGATTCACCCAATAATAAGTGGACAGAATGTCAGTTTTGCAAAATGGTTATTACCACGGTAAATCTTTGGAGACATATTCGCACCCAACACACACCACAACCGCCCCGCAAATGCGATCTGTGCAATAAGAATTTCAAGAACAAGTACAGCCTGCGAGAGCATATACGCATCTCGCACGAGCAGAAGGTGTCTATCAAGACGGAGAACTGATCCGCCGCCATCAGCGTTGTCAGCGTTGGCCGCCTCTAAATCCAGAGTCCCGGCAATCAACATATAGTTAATTACGTCCAGCTTAGCAAAAAGAGTCGAGGAAGAGTCAGAGTCAGCCCATTCCCATTAATCCTAAAACTAGCCAAAATTTTCAACTCAAATGCAAAGCAGAAACAATTCAAGAGCATTATACTCTTAGCGTGCATATATACATATATTGCGTGTCTAAACTATATAGCCTATGTAAACATAAACATAAGATGGATAGCGTTTAGGTTCAAGTCCGAGTCAGAGCCAGAGTCAGTCGGAGAGTGGAGCTGGTAATCCCGTCGTTGACCAAGCCACATTATGATTTAGGAACACGTATATATACTAACTTTATTTATACCTTGGATAGCAAAGTACAAGAAACCCCTATGTATATAGACACACAGATCAGTGATCACAGGAATATTTAGAGTTTAAGGATTAATTAGGCCCAAATACCTTGATTTTATGTACATATACTATATTATATATTATATATAGTAGTGGCAGCCGACTTAATGTAACCCTGTCTAATACTAGTGACTAGTCTTTAAATCTCTGGAGATTTCTGTGAGCGCTTCAAGAGATTGATTCCCTTGCCAGGGCCCATGTACTTTGCTCAACCCCATCAACCTGAAACCTTAGATGAATATGAACAGAATATACCCTATATACCCTGTAGTCTTTCTATCATTGTGTACAAATTTATATATTAAAACAAATGAACTGTAATTCGATCCAGCGCTTTGTCCATGACCATTCTGTGTTCAGCATTGAAGCGTTGGGCCCCCCCTGTTTGTACATTAGCTAAATTAGTTATAGTTTATAGTTGATAGTTTATAGTTGATAGTTTATAGTTTAATTTAAGCCCAAACAAAAATTGCATGTAGAGACCACGAAAAAGCCAAGTGAAAATGGAAGTCATAATGTGTACGCTAGGATTAGGTTTGAAAGTTCGAGAGTATTTTGTCACAACCTGTAACACCTGGTAGAAATTCTCTCTATAAAGACAACTCTACATACTAAAGATAATCTAGTTAAATGAAACAACTCATACGTATTACTTATCGATCCACATATTGATCTATGTATACACAAGCATATAGTTAATGTTATATCTATACTATATATATATATATATATATATGCCCCGAAGTCCGAACTCAAGCCACTTGGAAAATATGTGTTTTTTCGCCTAGGATCTCACTAAAAAAAAAACAAGAATACAACAAAAAGAAAAAGAAGGAATGTATCAACGAAATGTAGACTCTCTGGTCAGTATGTACAATGAGCTGGAGTTGTCTTTTAAAAGTCTCTTAAAAATATGTAAATCTCTTCTTAGGTGACTTTGAAAATCTCCAGCGATTTCTGTGGCATTCCTGGCTAGAGAGTATTTAGTAGCAGATTCCATGACCTTCAAAAAAAAAAGAAAAAAATGTTTACCTTTAAGTCCCATATGTATATCTTTGTATATTGATTTATACACATCGATGAAATGAGACAAAATAACTCAATTTGAATTCGTTTTGCTAGAAACTTAAAAAAGAAAGAGACAGAGCTAGAGGGAGAAAGCAAGAGAGAGACAGCGCGAAAGGAAGAAAAATAAAAGAATTACATGTAAACAATTTCAAATGCAATGTATTTTTTGGGTAGAATTAAGAAAAAATACCTTTAATTAGCATTTTATAATTTTATAAATTTCTATTGTTATTGTTTTTACTTAAAAATTTTTTTAAATTGTATTTTGGGTTTTTAATAACCATGACTGAATGTTGAAATTTATTTTATTTCATATATTTTTATTGAAATGAACCTGAAATTTACTGTAAATAAACTTGTTTTATTGTTAATTTTAAGTTTATGGTAATTTTTTTATTTTTTAATTTAAGAACTAACCACGAATTTTAGATATTTGAAAATATTTTTGTTTAAAATGGAACTCTTACAGCTAGCTTGGCGCTAGAATTCCCAATGGGTTCTAGCTGCCATCTTATGGTAATCTGTTACTAATAACGATTCTGGCTTAAAAAATCACAAAATCAAATTCTAATATTGAATTTCCTGCTTTTCTGCTTGCAGCTTCCAGAGTAGCCTTTAAATCCGAACCTGGCAGCGGTAGTGATAGTGCATCAGGTGGCGGAGAACCACGAATCGGAGCAGCCCCAGCCACGGCCAGTGATGATGAGAACGGAGCAGGCCAAATGTTATTAGTGTGCAGCTTTTGCAAACGTCGCCTCAAGTCGGTGCATGCTTTGCGCCGGCACATAGCCTGCCGGCACTCAGAGATCCAGGGCAGGGAGCACGAGTGCTTCATTTGCATGAAGAGCTTCAAGACGAAATGGTCGCTGGCCACCCACAATTCCCGCTTCCATCGGGATCGCTCGAGCAAGGAGTCCTAAACGTATTTCGTATGTATGCTATGGTATTTTCTTTTATATATTTTGTATACAAATTTAAGCAAAAGTGAAATTAGCGTCAGCACACGTAAGTTCCTCCGCTAACTTGTTCTTAATTAGGACAATTTTTAGGAAAAAACTTCTTCTCAAAAAAGAAATCCAAGCTCAATCAGAACCAAACTATCGCGAATGACACCTAAAAAATAAGCTAAAAATTTTAAAATTTATATTAAATTAGCGTTACTTAAGAAAAATCTGAATTAAATGTATATTCCTGGCATTTTTTTTGTGCCATTTTAAAACTTAAGCGTCGGGAGGATACTTTCTTAATAATAATTTAAATTATTTCAAAAGATTGCAATGCTTAATTAAAGAATTTTATATGTTGCCTATTTTTCACCAAGACTAGATTGTTTATACATATATGCAATAGCAATAACAACATCATGAATAAACAAAATGTAGGCATATTTCCAATACCGTTTTCCTTTTTGACTGGATGAGTCCAAAAAATGTCCGCTAAAAATATTAAATTCGGACAAAGAATCTGACTTTCCGCATTAGTTTCGCTAAATGCTCAAAAACGGACGCGCAAACGGACGAATAGCGGACGAGTGTTGCGAATTCTCAGGATTATACTCGCTAATGATGTTGTAAAATAGAAATCTTATTGGGATTCCAAAAATTATAACATTTTCTGCCCTCGACAGGTTACGATAAGCTTTATTGTCATTTATGAGTCTGAATCGGAGGTTTTGTCCGCTTCAAATCCGGTAAACTTTCGTTTTTAATATCATAAACGAACCAGACAAAAGCTAAGATCTTCTCATCTTCAGAAATACAAAAACAAAATCTATACATCGTCAATATTAACCAAAATATAACACAAAAGTTATAAAATACACAAGCCTTACACTAGGCTTTCCTTTTATAAAGCTCCTTAGACTCCAGAAAAGACTCATATTTGAACATTTACTGTCCTCCCCTGGTCTGAATCCACTGTTAAATCCCAAGAAAAAAAAAATTGAAAATATGTTAGAATGGCTTCGAAATGCGTTTAATGACTTAACTACTACAAAATTTACTGCCAAAAGAGAGGTAAAAATTATCAGAGAAGGTCTCCAGTCTCCTTAGAAGGTCTCCAGTCCCGGGAGCGGGAACTTCCTGCTGAACTCCACCACCGACTTGCTGATCTCATCCTTCTTCGCCTTCACCGTTGCATTCTCCTCGAGCACCTTGTGGTAATCGGCCATTTTGGGGCTACCCGCCACCTTGGCCGCCTCGACACCGACCTTCAGGGCGTCATCGATAAAGGCCACCACCTGCTCAATGTCCTTCTCGACTAGACCGCGTGTGGTCAGGGCCGGTGTGCCAAGACGAATGCCCGAGGGATTCATCGCTGACTTATCACCGGGCACAGTGTTCTTATTACAGGCAATGCCCACCTCCTCCAGGATGTACTCGGCCTTGGCGCCGGTCAAACCAGCCTTGCGCAAATCAACCAACACCAGATGGACATCAGTGCCGCCGGTGGCCACCTGATAGCCACGAGAGATCAGGCCATCGCACAGGACCTTGGCATTCTTGAGGACCTGCGTCTGATATGCCTTAAACTCCGGTGTCTTGGCCTGCTTGAAGGCCGTGGCAATGCCGCCCACAGCATTGTTGTGTGGACCGCCCTGCAGGGATGGGAACACAGCCTGATTGATGCGCTCCTCCAGATCGTAGAGGATCTTGTCGCCATTGGGCTTGGTGGAACGGACGCCCTTGCGGAAGAAGATCACACCGGAACGTGGACCGCGCAGGGTCTTGTGCGTGGTGGTGGTCACAATGTCGGCATACTCAAACGGCGAGGGAATCAAGCCGGCGGCCACAATGCCAGCCACATGGGCCATGTCGGCCATCAGATAGGCACCGACATCGTCGCAAATCTTACGGAAACGGGCATAATCCAGCAGGCGGGAATAGCACGAGATGCCGGCAATGATGATCTGCGGACGGAAATTCTTGGCTGCCTCGGCCAGCTTGTCGTAATCGATGATGCCCGTCTCGGGGTTCACCTTGTACGGCATGCTCTCGAAGAAGATCGATGTTGCGGAGATCTTCTTGGTGGGCGTGAAGAAGCCATGGGTTAGATGGCCACCATCGGGTAGATCCAGACCCATGATGCGGTCATGTGGCCGGCACACGCCCGTATAGACGGCCAAATTGGCCGGCGACCCCGAATATGGCTGGACATTGACGCCCCACTGATCCCCGCTGAGGTTGAACAGTTCGAGGCCGCGTTTCTGGGCCAGCAGCTCGATGCAGTCGATAAACTCGTTGCCGCCATAGTAGCTGCAATGGAGAAGGTTTCAGGGATTAGTTAAGGTTTTACAGGAAATATCGATTAATCGAGGTAATCGAAGTTTATCGAGTTAGTTGTTTAAAACTCAAGGGTTTAAGCTTTTCAGAGTCACTTAAACATTTTTTAAATTACGTTTGTCTAAATTACGTCTAAAATCTAAAAAGTTATAGAAATTAATCTAAATTGTTTATCAAGTTGTTTGTTTGGCTATTTTTGACTTTGATTTGTCCTTAAGCTGATATTATTATACAAATATCGAAATATATCGATTTGCAATCGAAAAACGAAAATCCACTCACCGCTTGCCGGGATAACCCTCCGAGTACTTGTTGGTCAGGCAGGAGCTCAGACTCTCCAGCACCGCCACCGAGGTGAAGTTCTCGCTGGCAATCATCTCGAGTCCCTCGCGCTGACGCTCCTTCTCCTTCTTGATGAGATTGGCCAGCTCGGGATCGCTCTCCTCCAAAGTGGCCTGCAGCATCTTCTGGTCCGGCATGGTCTGGGGTTTAAGGATGATATATATATATATATACTATATATTCGAGGTATCGGCAGTGCAATGTGCGATGCGTTCGATGCAAAGATCGTTGGCTATATGAATGCTATGGAAAACCGATCCCTGACTCAACAGTGCGCCTATCATGTTTTTTTCTACGCCCCGATTTCAACAACAAAAATATTTATATTTATATTTATGTTGCGAAAAAAAAATACACACACTCTCAGGTTCAATGGGTTCAAATAGCTTTGGAAAAGTTCGGTTGATAAGAGGGCGATCGACTGATGGATCGACGAGCTATCGCCAAGCGGAGATTAGCCGCGGGATGCACCATGGCAACCACTTGATTCGGGCTTCTTTCTCGATTAGATTGGCCAAATAAACACAAAAGTATAGGTATATAATGGTTATGTCACCAATATACTACCCAGAGATCCCTGCTTCAAAGACCCCCTGTGGCTGGGAGCCAAGCTATTTGCGTCCTATCTGTATCCATCTATCGCGTGTTTGTCTGTCTGGGTCACGGGTTCAGGCGATAAGGATGCGGGCCCCCCTTGGGTGCTGACGTATGTGCTTTGGAAAGATCGGGAATAACGTAAGCTATAATGTTTTGAAAGTCTCAATGTTGGAATTTACTATTTCTATTAGGGAAATTTCAAAAAGATGTTTCTCTTTCTTTCAGTTTTAACCTAACCTTTCAGTTTGCTTTAGATATTTATTGAGAAATTATTGTATATTTTTTGAAATCCCATTAAAAACTGCCTTAAAGTGGGCAACAAACAAGGAAAATGATCATAACTTAGTCAACAATTCGTTAATTTTAATTCGAAAAGGTTTTTTTTTTAACTTAAATCAGCATATGGAATTTAAAATTAAAATATTTAAAATAAGTCAACCTTTTTTTAAACTATTTTGATTTAAAAATAAATTCAATAAAAACCTTATATAAATATTTAATTAATACCTCACACTTTCAAGAATAATATAATTAAAAAATCATTTTTAGTATTTAAAAAAAAAAAAGGAAGAACATCTAATAACTAAATAAATTAAATAAAGTGCTAATTTTCAGCCACGAGTCGTCGCCTAATGTTTACCGCAAAATTTTGCACTTGTCACAGGCGAAATTCAATTTAATTGGCAATGTCATATATAGCCGGCGATATCGGTATCGAACTGGCTATATATAATGTATAAACAGGTGGAAAAAAAATATAATAGAGCAACACAAAACCAAAGAAATTTGAGTAGGCCTAAAACGAGTTTAAAGCTGAGACAGCTAAATAAATCAAAGAATATTTTGCTTAAAATAATGAAACCGAAAAGTCTAATACCCTAATATTAAGTTTATAAAATTGAATGTTATAATTATATATCAATGCAACATCTAAACTATATTTTAGGTGAAGAGTAATTTATTTTTAATTTAAAGCCTGATTTTAAGTTTATAAGTAAGGTTTATACCTTAAGTTAGAAATATTTGAACATTTTTTTTTTTGGCTAAAGTAGAATATTTACAATAAATTTAAGGTTTTTTCTTTAGTTTGATTAATGTTTTAAACTGAGCATAAAAATAAGTATATACATATGTATAAATATTATTCAAAAGTATCTTTAATAATGTAAATATTTTTAATAAGCAAACCGAAGAATAATGTATATTAGTTAGAATTAAGTACAAACTAATCTTTCTCAAAAAATCCTTATAACTTTACGATGCCTATAATTATCATAAAAAAGTATATAATAAGGTAAACAATGTATGTGAATACCTAAATCTATACATACTTGTTTACTTTCCTCACAAAAAGTGAAGATTAAAAGGCTTTAGGAGGCCCAAAGATAAGAGATCACACAACATTTCCCATTGAAAATACGCTCTGGAAGAGTATTTTAAAGGAAACCAACCCCAACACAGAAAATATGCGAGAAAAACACATGGTTCCTACACCGGATCAGCACATGGCTCCGTAAAAAACAAACGAAAGCAAAGCTTTACAAGTTAAGCACTTATTTCCAATACCAACTCAAGATCCACACTACACAATACACACTTCTCCTGCTCAATTGATTAATTAATATCGTTCAGTAAACACACTCACTCACCTTCTTCGAGGTGTTTTGTTCGCAGTCCGAAAATCTTCTGATCGCGGCGAAAAATAATGGTGATGGTGCCGCCGATATCGTCCGATTTTTAGCGGCAAAGATGCGGCGGGTTAAAGCTCCTCCTACTTCCAGCTGAGTTCCAGTTCCAGAGTTAACCAGTTTCTGACTGGCGGTGTTCAGGTCCCGGCTAAAGCACAATCGAAGCTTATTTGGCAGTGTGATTGGGCGCATTCGCTGCATGTTTTTAAGGCCTACAAAAAATTACATAAATAATTTAATTAATTATGTAAGAATATACTGTCTTTTGGAATATTAAAACATATTCCACAGCCATCGGCAGGCACCTTTACAGACTTCTCTGGTTTGGCCGCTCGGCGTTCGTGGCGAAACTGTGCCTGTCCGCGTTGCCGCCGCCGCCGCCTTGCCACCGCTGATAATTGATAAGAGTTCGGCCCCTGACCCGTGACCTCAGATTACTGATAAGGCCGCCGCAAGAGATCTCCCTATCTTTTTGGCCGCATCCGAAAATATTCCCGACACTTTCAAGTTGAAAACAAAACAAAACAATGTCAGTGTTCTCCCTAAAAAACCCAGAAAATTTGCGCTTTCGCGGCTTCTGGGCACACTAAAAAAGTTCTCTCTCTACATTTTAACATTCTACACGAGAATTCGACCCCAAAAACGAGAATTCGACCCCAAGCATGTAAAACTTTGTTTTGACATTTTACTTTGAAGTTCAGAGTGACCAAGGGGAAAATATAAAAAAATATCAATATTGGGCAAAAAATATCGATATATTTAGGTTTTGAAGCATAATTGATTATAGTGGGAAAATAGCTGAATTGGCAATACTGATTCGGTCGCGGCGGCACATTTCAAACACGTTCGTCGAACACATTCTCTCTCGGTTCGGTTGCAACGAAGCCGAAGTTCGGTTGCAACGGAGCCGAAGTGCTGCCGAAGGCTGCCGAAGTCTATGTTGTTCGCTCTCGAACACTCTACATTCTACACGAGAATTCGACCCCAAAAACGAGAATTCGACCCCAAGCATGTAAAACTTTGTTTTGACATTTTACTTTGAAGCTCAGAGTGACCAAGGGGAAAATATCAAACAAAAATATGGCGATTTCGATATTTGGGCAAAAAGTATTTAGGTTTTGAAACACGCCAGATATAGTGGGAAAATAGCTAAATTGGCAGCACTGATTCGTAGTCGTATTCATTCAGCGTTCAGAGTAGCGAATCGGAGACGTTCTGCGATAAAATAAAACTCGTCTGTCGATTTAATATTTTACTTCAAATTAAGTAAACAAACACAAACAATTATTTTTTTTTAGGTTTTTTTAGCTGTTTATTTTGGGTAATCCCGGTTTTTCACTCGAAAGGTCTCTCAGCGGTCGGTTCTGCTTTTCCCAAGTCGAAAAACGGTCTATTAGATATATTAAATTAAATTAAATATAAACCAAATATTTAAAAACTAAAAAACACTTGTATTTTGTTTTTTATTTTTATGTTCATTGCCAATATTGATTGACTTTTCTCGGTAATACGCCGAAAAGCTAAAGCGAAAAGTGACAATTATTTCGAGTGCTAACGGTACCGTTTCGTCGATCTGAATAAAGCGCGCGCTTCGAAAATTTGTTTGAAAATACGATTGTTTTTTTTCTGTTACACCGAAAAGAGAATAACTGAAAATGAAGAAATTACGAAAATAATAACTGAATGGATTTTGTTGCAAAAATTAAACAAATAAAATAGCTGCGTGTGCATTTTAATCAAATAAATACGAAGAGCGGCCGCAAGGAAGGCGATAAAAAAAGAAAACAAAAGCAACGGTACGCGGCGAAGGTGTGGAGAGAGGCGACAAAAGATACCGCGAAAAGTCGTAAAGAAAAGGTGAGAAAACAAATTATTTATTTCATGTGCTAAAAAGACACGCAAAAACGTCGTTTTATTTTTAGCCAAACAAAAGTTGTGTCTTATCTGTGAGTGTGTGTGTGTGCTGTTTTTTCCCTCCTTTTTGCATTCATAATTTGCGATTTTTTCAAGAATAATTTTGTTTTGTTTCTTGTCTTGTGATTTTTTTTACACGTCTCGTTTTGTGCGTGTTTTTTTAATGTTTTTTTTTTTGCTTATTGTTTTGTGTGTGGCAAGTGAATGCACAAAAAAAGCACAAAACGTAGAAATATAAAAAATATTACGATAAAACGCCGTTGTTCTCTCGGTTTCCGAAGGTTTCCGGGTTTGTTGACTTTGCCAGCTGCTGAACACCGAAATTGACATAAACAATAATGCCAGCGTATTTATTCATGCACAATTATTATAAACAATTGTGATTTGCCCAGGAAACGATTTTATTCGCTGTCCGCTATTTGTTGTCATTAATTTGCAATGATAAAAAGTTAGAAAAAATAATGAAAAAAGGAGTTAAAAACATAAATAAACCAAGTATTTGTATTTCAACTGAAAGGGCGCAAAATGAGAAAAATGCGCTAGTAATTTACAGTTTTTTTTTCTCTTTCTACTGATAATTAGCAACTAGAAATGACAATGGAAAAATAGCAATTTTGTTCTCAAAAACAAAATAAAAGATAAAATGTTATTTATTATTTACCGAAAACGTCAGTTTTTTAAAAGTTCTTTTCGGGTTATTTACTTTATTTATTTATCTTTATTTTCAAAATTTATATATGCCTATTTTAGGTTTTATTTAAAGCTTTTTGTTTGCTTTTTGTTGCCATCATCATTTCCGCCTTTACAGTAAAAGCAATTTGCAATTTACTTTTCTTTTTTTCCTCTTTTTTTTCTTTCATTTTACTCATTGCAATTAATTTTTTACAACGTTAATTATAATAAACGGCGATAACCAAACAAAAAACTGGGGAAACAAAAAAAAAATATATACTCGAAAAAAAGTCGTAGAAAAAAACGTTAAAAAACATGAACAACGAAAATTAAAATTGCAAATCGCAAATTGAGTGACGTTGCCCGACGACGGCGCTGCGCGGCTGCGAAACGTTTGCGTTACGTTTACGTTTTCGTCTTGTTTCTCCGGCCTTTTGTTTTTGTCCGCTGCTTTATTAGATTTTTTGTTTTCACAACGGCATTCGCCTGCGCAAAAAGCAGTGGCCGAGGAGGAGGAGGAGACAGAGGATGGGGATTGGGGAAGGCAAAGAGAGGCGCCAAATCTGCGGCATCGTTGCGTATGTGTGTGTGTGTGTGTGTGTGCCAACTGCGGCCTGTGTGCGTGCTTTCGCTCTCTCCATGGCCCCCTTGCTGTTTTGCTCGCTCTCTCTCTGCCCCTGCCTTTCGCCCCACTCACACACATTTCAATTACATGTGGAACGCGTGCTCCAAATTTCAAGTTCATTGTCCAAAGCGGAATCAACAACAACAACAACAACAACAACAAGCACACACACCCCCACTCGCAGCCGCCACAAGCACAAACAGGAAAACAAGGGCAGTTCAGCATCCGTAATGGCGGACCACGCCTCTTTAAATGTTCAGTGCCCACAATGTAACATATAAAAATAATGCAACAGAGTCACTCTGCTCATTAATGGCCACATTATCTACTGATTTATGGTAATTAATCAGAATTGACACAGGACAACCGCAAATACGCATAGATGTTACATTAATCCGAACTATGTATACACATTTGTAAATTAACATCAATCAAATTATTAACGTTCTGGTCAGTAATAAAGGCTAGAAATTAGACTGTTCTGAATCTCTCCCTCCTCCCTTTGGCGTAATGAATCCATCTTAATTTCGTTATTTAATCACGCTTTCCGTTGTTTTTAAATCCACTTTTTTATTACAATCATAAAAATATATTTTATATGACTGTAAAACACGATTGTTACATTATACAAATTACTTTTTAATTGTCTGCTCTTCAGACTTCATTTGTAAATACTTTGTTTTATTTTTGGGAGATTAGGAATATTTAGTTTTGAAAAAGTTTTGGATGCATAATCAATTTTGGGGAATTTAAAATATTTTCAAGAAATAATTTTAGGATTTTCTAAAGTTACAAAAGTTTTCTTTTTACATTTATTTTTTCAATAAAATAAAAATCACAAATCCATTAGGGTATTTCCAGAGTCTTGTCTTGTGCATTAAAAACAAAATCTGTTCATAATCAACAAAAAAATCACACTTATTTTCGTGTTATTCCGCAACCAAATAAAAATTCTTCAGAAAAAGCACAGAAAAAAACAAGAACAATAACAACAAAATGGCAGCAATAGAGGAAATAAAGCACAAAAAACGACACAAATTTTGCCACGAATATTGTTTTTCTGGGCTTTTGTTTGTTATTTTACCTTATAAAATGGCAGTACATTCGTTTCTTTTTTTTTGTTTTTTTGTCACACTAACTTCAGTTTGTTCAGTAAATAAATTTCGCTTCTTACGCAAATTTTTAGTTGTTTATTCAAAACAATTCCACTTTTGACAGATAGCTGAAAATAACAAAATAATTTGCAATGCGTAAATAATGTTTTTTCAAATGTAAAAAAAAGAAGAAAAAAAAAAAAAAACTTCCATTGAAGGTATGAATATGGAACATGGAATAATTTCCTTGAACTTTTCCCAAGGTTTTTTGTCAGAATAGGAAAAATATATATATTATATATGTATATGTACAGTGTATATGCTATTTGCTATTGTTGCTGAAAAGGGCTTTATTTGCTAACTTTTTTTCTTTTTTAATTTTTTTTCCTTTGTGATATCAGCGCATATTTATAATTAAAAACAAACAAACAAATCAAAAAAAAAAAAAGAAAACAAAAATTAACAACACTAGAAATATGTATGTACTATATATATACATATGTATATATATGTACATATATAGTCAAATTCGCTGATAACTTCTAGAGCAAAATGTAGAAGTGGAAGAAAATAAAGCTGGGTGAAAATACATAGCAAAAAAAATAATAAAAAAAAACAACGCTGAAATCAAAGCAATGGGAGGAGAGATAAAAACTATTTCCGTCGAATAAAGCCAAGCAAAACAATGGGAAATAATACAAATAAAAAAATGAAGAAAAAACCTAGAGAAATACACTAAAAATATGGTTGTTTCCCGCGTTGTTGGAAAGTTCGAGGAGAATTCTGTGGGGTCCCAGTTTCTTCAGGGGTTTTTTTCTCCTCTCTCGCTCTCTACATGTATGTTTTTTGTTTTCTTTCATCTTCTTTTTGTTCATCCAAGGTTTTCAAATCAAATTATGTCGCGATCGAAAATAACAAAAAAGGCAACACAAATACGGCCTCTATTTTTATGCAATTATCCGACGAAAAAGAGCAACAAAAAAAAGAAGCATTTTCAAATAGGAAAGATAAAAACAAACACACGCATACACTCACACTCGAACAAAAGGCAAACTCTACAAAAAATGTTATATGTATAAAAATAATAACAACAAAACCGATTCCGAATCCGAATCGAAATTATGAATCACAAAACGTTTTTTGTGGTCGTCGTTTGGGTTTGCCTCAATTTTATTTTATATATTTTTTTTTGTTAATTGTTCTCTCCTTTTTGTGTCTCTTTTTGTTATTTGTTAATACATTTTAATTCAATTTTGTTTCTTTCGCCTGGTTTCCAGTTTTTTTTTTTAATTTATCCGCTTCCGTGGCCATGTGGCATGATTTTTTTTTGTGTGTGTGTGGTAAATATTTTTATATTTATTTTTATTCCCATTTAATTTGCAAAAATGTTTGGGCTTAAATTGTATTAGTTCTGGCGCTGCATTCCTGTGCATTATGTTACTGATTCAATTATATTTACTTTTCCATTAATTGAATTTATGCACAAAAAAGTGAGGTGACGTCTCTTTCTGTACATTATTTTATTTAATTTGTTTTGTTTTTCCTTTTTTAACCTTGGCTGATAAGCGTTGGGAGAGCTTTTTGAAAAAATACATTGTGTAAATTTGACTTGGGGCTTACAGGTTTAGGTTTTTCTATATAATTTAGAGTGGACCTAGCTCTCTTTTAAAATTATATATATATATATATATATTTTTTTTTTTTTTTTATACCCTTGCAGGGTATTATAATTTCAGTCAGAAGTTTGCAACGCAGTGAAGGAGACGTTTCCGACCCTATAAAGTATATATATTCTTGATCAGCATCAACAGCCGAGTCGATCTAGCCATGTCCGTCTGTCCGTCCGTCTGTCCGTCTGTCCGTCTGTCCGTTTCTACGCAAACTAGTCCCTCAGTTTTAAAGCTATCTCAATGAAACTTTGCATATAGTCTTCTATATACTCTCACTGCTATATATGTCGGAACGGGCCGGATCGAACGACTATATCGTATAGCTGCCATACAAATGTTCGATAAATTTTTAGAAAAAAATTATAACTTGGCTGTTTTCCAAAATTTTTGCATCATTTTTGGGATATGGCCATTTTATATTATTCCAGAATTTTGGTAAAAATTTTATGAAAATCGGACGACTATATCTTATAGCTGCCATAGGAACGATCGGGAAATTAATAGAAAAAAATTATAGATTCGTTGTTTTTCAACGTATTTTCATCTACTCCGGGATATAAGCTTATTTTATTATTATAGAATTTTGGTATAAATTTCAAAAAAATCGGACAACTATATCATATAGCTGCCATAGAAACCGATCGGTAGATGTAGAGAAAATGTAAAGCTGGGAATGCAAAACTGTAACTGTCAAACTGTAAACATAATAAGTATAGGTAAAATGTATTGAAATAATATCTGCAAGGGTATACAAACTTCGGCGTGCCGAAGTTAGCTTCCTTTCTTGTTTTAATTTAATTTTTAAAATAAAATTTCGTTATAAAGTTGGGCTCCAAAAAATGTTACAAGGTGGGAGAATTTTTAACTTGTTTATAACAAGAA